TTTTCCAATCACCCATTCATTCATAGATATCGTGGGAAGGAAACGAAGGCGGGTCTCCTTGTGAATGGACAGAAGTTTTTACAGAAAAGGGAAAACCCTAACGTCTGGAGCCAGCTGCTGCAGAGCGTAAACTTCCGAGTCTCTGAAGAGGCGGAAGGGACATTGTCACCATCCTTCCCGCCTCGGTTCTCAGCTCCTTTTTCCCAGCGTCCCCTCCCCTCCCGAACTCAGCCAGGCCACCTCTCGGGGTGCTGCCTCACTGGCGCTCAGGCGCTCCATTCTCCCCCCTCCCCTCATCAAGCACAGTGTCCGATCCGCCCACCGGCGCCTCTCGTGTTGCAATTGGCTGGGCGCCGGTTCTCCTCGCGCCGCTGCTCCTGTCAGGTAGTTCCACCCTTTCGCAAGGCAACGCCTGCCCCCGCCGCTCCCCTGGTTCCAAATACTGGCGCGCAGGTGTCTCGGTTCCTAAGACCATCAAAAATATGTCTTTTCCGATAGTGTTAGGCAACCCCTATGAAAGGGTCGTTTGACCCCCCAAAGGGGTCACGACCCACAGGTTGAGAGCCACTGGTTTAAACAGATTATCAGTTACAAGTATAAGTAATGTCTGGAACAGAAAGAGCATCTTTGGCAAAACATTCATTTTAACTACAGAGATGCTATCCAATAGTAATAAATGCAGTTTGTCCCATCTTTGTAAATCCTTTTTAATATCAATCCAAAGAGGCACATAATTATTTTGAAACAATTTTATGTTTGTGTTTCTCAACATAACCCCCAAGTATTTCATCTTTTTCTCAACCTTAAAACCCGTTTTTTTAGTCAATGTATCACTATCCTGAGATGACATATTCTTAATCAACTATCAACTTGGAAAGCGTTTCCATGACTATTATAAAGTTGACATGAAAAAGGGAGGGAAAATTCCATGCATATCTTCAACCAGAGTTGAATCTCAGATTTCTACAGCAGGTGTGTGAGGCGCAAAAGTTCACAGCCTGCTGCAGCACCTTGTTGGTGGATATGAATTATGACAAAGACTGAGGGGATGGGAGACATGGGGGTAAAGTTCAGACACCATTAACCAGAGTCAGATTCGGCTCTGCAGAAGAACATGCCAAAATGTTGCTCCTAATAAATGACTGGATTTCTTTTGAACTTTGTCTCGAGGCTCGTATATTAATTTTAGAAACTTCACAGAGAGTCAAATCTGACTTTTAAAATCTATCAAGATTTCCAAGTTTCCTGAACCCTGGCTCTCCAATCACTTCCTGATGCTTGGAGGGAAAATCAGGCAACCATGGCAGAAGAGAGCCTGATTGCAGCTAGAGGAATGCGGCCAGCTCCAGACATCAAAGCTCCAGACATCCAAGTGGCAATGGCGTTCCCAGCGGCAGAAGCAAGAAAGGATGAGTACTGGTGGAAATTAGCCCCTAAGGCAGCTGAAGTTGAGTTCCCTTATCCCAATTCCCAGATAAAGGGAAGGGTCTCGAGCGAGCTCGCAAGGTTGAACTGGATGTGGGACTGGGCACAAGCCAGGCTCCCAAAGCCCCAGATGGAATCCCTGGGGAGTGCAATAAAGCAACTGAGGGAGGATTTTGACCAGACCACCCTCAAGGGACCATCATGCCACCCAAAAGAGAGGGGAGGGACATTGATCCTGTTGAAGGGAGGAGACGCAGACTGGAGCACAGCCCCCCTCCTCCACCCAATAGAAGGAGCCCAGAACTTCAATTAGTGCCTCTCCCATGCAGCAGGCAGGCTGCCCAGGGCGGGCAACCCCCTACCTCTCTCCGAACTAGAGATGAGGAAGATGGCGCAAGCATATAGACAGGAGGTTGGAGGAGTAGAGCTGAATCACCCGCCCCAATTCAGGGGAAAGTTTGATGGGGACTCAGACCAGCTAGCTCTATTCCTTGATTCAGCTGATCAAGGAACCTAGATGCACATAGACCTAGAACGCTACGGGCACCTCTACCCATCCCCCAGAGTCAGAGGTGAATACCATTGAAGAGGGGCTAGAGGAAGAAGCAAAGGAATGGTTAGCAGCCCTCTACAAGAGGAGGAGGAAGAGGACCCATATGTGGAAGAGGAACTCAGCAATCTAAAGCAGAGGGGCCGCCCCATCAAAGAGTACATCCATTAATTTAGGAGGGTCATTGGAAGACTACCCCCTTACCAGAGTGGCTGCTGGTGCATTTTTTTCAGAACAAGCCTGGACAAGCAAATTGCCCAGATAACCACATACCGCGACATCCCAAATCGACTCTCTGAGTGGTTCCGAGTAGCAACAAAAGTCGACAGCGGGCTGTGTGCCAACAACATGAGAAAGCAACCAGACACGAAAAAGAGAGGTCAACCTGACCTGAAACCTCACAACCAACGGGGAACCACACCACCACAGCAGGCCCTGAGACCAGCCCTCCCTCAAAGTCCTCTGAGATGCTACAGATGTGGGGGGAATGGCCCATATGGCTTCTGCATGCTCAACCCCAGCCTCGAAACTAAGGCCAGACCCACCACCCAGGGCACAACCAGAACAAGGCCCCAAATGGGTCACCAACATGTTCCGGAAAGCCCTCCAGACTGCAGATGGCCCTTCCCCCTCAGGCAGAAGAGGTGGAACCCCAGATAACAATGACCAGTTGCCTGAATCCTGTGACACTGAGGATGAGGGAGAAAACAACCCAATGGTGAGTGAACCAATTCACACTTTACTTTTTCCAATATGCCTCACAGCCCCCAAAATAGGAAACCAGGGGGATTTTCAAGGCTTAATTGACTCAGACTACACTAGCTGCTTGATCAACCTAACCACAGTCCTGAAATGGGAACAGAGCAAAAAGACTGGCCCACCCAATCCGGTTCGAACAGGTCAGCGGGTCCCTAATGGGGGGAGGTTATGCCACCCACCTAACTCAACCAGTGAGACTAGAGCTAGCGGATCACTGGGAAGTAATTGGGTTCATAATAGCCCCCAAAATGACAGACACAGTCATACTGGGGCTTTCCTGGCAAGACAAGTGGGGACCGACCATCTGGTGGCAAGGGGATATCCGCAGACTTAGGATATCAAGAGTCCCCCAACCCCTCCCACACCAGCAAGCAGAAACACCACCTGCACAGGAAACCCTCAAAAACAACAACTGGCAACCACATCCAACAAAACCCCAGAGGCTGAACTAATTCCGAGGGAATATCAGGACCTTGCAGAAGTATTCAGTGAGGCCAAGTGCAATGTTCTGTCTCCCCACTGTGAGAAAGACTGTACCATCAAAATCATCCTGGGGCAAAACTACCCAAGCCCAAACTGTATGCCATGATGCCATGGGAAATGCAAGAGATGCACAAAAACATAGAAAAAAACCTAGCAAGGTGGTTCATTGAGCCAGCCAAGCACCAGTCCTCTTCAAAGAAAAAAAAGATTAGCTTCTGCGCATGCCCAAGATGGTGTACTGTCGCATTTGAGGAGAGCTTCGGAGAGATGATTGTCCTTCTCGGGAGCTTGCAAGGGTACCTTATCCCATTGTTGGTTCCAGGTCTAGCTATGAGAACTTTCTGGGACCTCAGGAATACCCTTGAGCTGCGATTTACTGCTTCATAGCTGGAACATCGTGAGTGAAAGGGGGCGGTTGGCAGTGAGAGGAGAATGAAGAGCGTCGGTTGCTGCCGGTGTGGGTGCAGTCAGCGGTGGTGGCGGGATGCCCAGCTTGGGATTTCTGCAGCCGGCGTGAATGTGCTCAGCAGCAACTTCCCGCTACCCCCTTGAATACAGCTGGCAGGGGTGTGGTCGTCGGAACGCCCAGCCTGGGGTCTCCGAAGCTGGCGTGGGTGTGCTCAGCGGCAGGGCAGTGGGTCGCCCGGCTTGGGATCTCTGCAGCCGGCGTGGGTGTGCCCAGCATCAGCTTCCCGCTACCCCCCTTGAACACTGTCGGCTCCCCCCCCCCCATGGACATGTCATCTCCTCATTCCATCTCCCTGTGATATCATCCCGTTTGGTTGATTCCACACTCTCCTCTATGCTATACTGCAACAGAACTTTATTCCCTTCAGGAACTCCCCCGTTCCCGGGGATGGCCTTCTTGCCTATCAAGACACTTCCTTAATGATGGATCATGGGATCCCAAGAGGTGGCATGTGAAGAAGAGACTTCTTAGGGATTTTAAAATCAAATTTTAAGAGGGGGCAGGGGGTTGATACAGATTGCTCAGTCAGGCTTGTGGGGGAGTCTGCCAGGGCACAGGCCAGAGCTAACTAATGGGTGCGGGTCGGGAGTGCTGGGAAGGGTTGGGATTCCNATTACATAATTACCACCTTACAATAATACCTTTAACATCATCAAACAACATCTACTTATTACAGGTTCTTGGGAAGGACTCAATGGATAAAAATGGCTGACTGTGCAATGAACCATAATAATAATACTATAATACAACTAACTATTCTGGTTCAGTTAGTTAATGACCAGAAGCTATTATGTAGAAAATAGTTATGTCCACATATAAAAGTTTTTCTACTGATGTAATTGTTTGAGGGTTTTTAAAATAAAATTGCAGAGTTTGATTAGTGACTCATTTATTAACTTTTTTATACATATGGTACTTTGTTTGCTATGATAATTTACTTACTTTCATTTTCAAAAAAATATTTTAGGGCCAATTATTACCATGTTTGAGACAGTTCTTTTTTTCAAAAAGAAAATATGAATTAAGATAAAGCTGCACAGGTGTTAGAGGTCTCTATCATAATACTTTTTTCCAAGAATGTCTGTAAATTTTAATGTTGAAAAACCTCTAGGTTCATTTATTTACATATAATGTGTATTTTTGGTGCAGATACTGTAGCAGCAGCTAGAAATGCTAATGTCATTTCTACATAATGACAGGATTTTTCAAAAATTGAAAATTGATTCCTTCTACTCCACCTTCTTGTATATTGTGGGGAGAAGAGAGAGAATGAGTGAATAATGTGCTCTTACCGCATTTAAATTGTCTCAACAGGATTCTTTAGCTGCAGAAATTGAAGGATCAATGCGAAAAGAACTGCATCTGGATGATACTGACTCAAAGTATGACCAATATATTATAATACTTTGTAGAAAAGCTGTATTTAACACTAATAATCAGTAATCTTTGTGTACATGTAAAAATGTTTAGACAATCCACTGTAATGATCTTTTAAAAATTTCAGTTCTTTAATTATTAAATAAGAAAATGTTGGGAGCATTGGAAGGTTTTTACAGGTATTGCAAGTGGACAGTAGCTTTTTATTTAAGGAGGGATTTGGAGGGAAGATATTAGAACTTGCTGTAATCCAACCAGAACACAAGTAAATAATTCAGCAGGATTCATTTATATAAGTAAAATTCTTTATAAACAATACCATATAGCAGAAGCCAGAACCAGAACTCAGNACTCAGTCCAGCCTAACGAGATGCATCTCAATTTTCTCTCTAGACTCATCGACAAATTTAATCTTCTAATTGGATTCAACAGTTGCACATTGCGATTTGAAGTGCTTTATTCCATGCAGAGGTGGAGGCGGCAGTTCACTGCCAGCCCAGACCCTCCCAGCCGTTGGTTATCTTGCCGGAGATTGGAGACCGCTTGGTCCATTGGTTCGTAAGCCGAGACAGCGGGGGCGTTCCACGAGCGGATTGGGAACCCTTTTTTTTCCCCTCGCTGACTGTTGGGGGTGTCCTGGGCTGGTGCGCCGCCCTGCGCCGTTCTTTCACGCCGGAAGCAACCCGCTTAGGCAGTGCGGTTCACCCAGGCTTCATTCTTTGCTCTGCCTCGTTTCCCTTGGAGGATCTGCGACCAGCTGTGCCGCGGGGCTCGCGGCTTGCAGGATCCCGGGCAATCGGTTGGTTCTTTGCGGATTTGAAATTTGCGCTCTCCAGGACGGTCGCCATTTTGGACCGGGCTCTGCACATGCGCAGCAATCGCCCAGGGGAGGCGGGGCCGCGTATTTCGCGCCCAGGCATCGGCGCCGCCCCGATGGCCTCCTCTCTCCCTCACTTACAACTTGCTGAGTCAGTGAGGAGGTTGTTTTCTGTGCAGACGCTGTTCTCACGTAGCGCCTTGTACAGTGGAGCAGTTTTCAGCATTCATTCTATACACGAGGTTGAGCCTTTCCAAATATCTCTTCTATTTACAATGGCAGATCAATCGGTGCCCAGAGGTACTATAGAGCCCATTTCTGAGCCCTGTTCCCCTGGTGAGGGGGGGGCTAGCCCAAGGCCCGGCAGGGCCACTACTAGGGCTTCCAGCCATAGGCCTCGGGCCTCCTCCGCTGTTAGGGATAAATCCCATAAGCACAAGGACAAAACTAAGGCGTCAGCTAAGGCATCTGGAGCGCCCAGTAATTCTCCCCCAGTGCTGATTCCGCAGTGTGTTTCCCCAGCGCGGCCTACAGTGCAGGGTTGGTCTCCTGACGTGCAATTGCCCAGGGCGCCCATTACCACGGAGGGGGGTTTGAGGGCCCAATCCCCTGCTCCCTTTTCCGAGCTAGGTGTGGCTTCCGCCCGTTCGCCTCCACGTGCAGAGCCTTCTGCTACTTTTACCCTTACTGCTGCAGGCCTCAGGCCTATGGAAGGCCAGGATTTGGGCCTTCCTCCCGATTTATACCACATGATCTCTGCAGCTATTTCTAGGGGGGTGGNTTCCAGGGACCCATCCCCTGATGCATCCTGGGGATACCCTGACTCACCAAGCTCAGCTCATCTCTCAGGGAGGAACTGGGACCCTTTCAGAGCATGTTGCCCGCAGATGAGGAGTGTATCACTGGCAAATGCAAGGACCTTGATCTCCCCAGTAGGCATCGCCCCAGGGAGGACAAGGGCTCAGCTCTGTCCGCAGAGATGAGAGAAGTCATTTCCATTGCCATTTCCCAGGGCATAGCTGAGGGCATAAAGCTTAAAGGTTCTAGCAAGTTCAAGCCTTCCAAATCCAAGCAGCCTAGCTCAGCCTCTACCTCTAAAGACCAGGCCTCCCCGGATGCCTCTGCTTCCTCGGAGGAGTCCTCCTCATAGAAGGAGGCCGAGGGTTTTGTTCTCTTGGAGGATGAAGACCTTTCCCCCGACCAGCCGGCCTTCACTGGCCTCTTCAAACCAACACTATTCAAATCTATTCTTCACAAGGCCAGGGTGGCCACTGAATTGGGATCTAGCCCCAAACCTGACTCCGCCCAGGCCTCTTCCTCTAAGGATCACAAACAGGATCTGTTTAAGGAACCTTCTTCCACACGAGAATCCATCCCTGTTCCATATCTCTTTTTGGACATGATCCAGAGGCAAGGGGTCCAACTTGGTACCTTAACCAACCCCAGCGGGGGGGATAAATCTCTCTATTCACTTGAAGATAAAATGGAGGAGGTCTTGAAACTGCCGGAGGTGGAGGCCCCAGTAATGTCTTTGACTCGAATTCTAATTTGCCTGCGGACCTTCTTGAAGGTCTCAAGGCTGAGAATAAAAGATAGGAGAAAACATGCCACAAAACACACATGGCAGCTGCCTGGGCCATCAAGGCATCCACCTCAGCGTCTTTCTTCACCAGAGCATCACTGTTCTGGCTGAGGCAGTTGCGGTCCAAACCGCCCACCAGAAAGTCAAAATGGCGCCATGATCTCACAAAAATCATTACCGCCATTGAGTATTCAGCAGAAAAAAGAATTCTTTAAAAAATAATATATTCAGCAGATGCTTCGCTCAATGCAGCGAAGTTTGCTTCCAGGGCCCTAGCCTCCAACATGACATCTAGATGCCTCCTGTGACTGCGCCACTGGCAGACTGATATGAAGGCCAAGTGGAAGCTTGCTTCCGCTCCCTTCAAGGGAGGACACTTATTTGGGGACACCCTGGGTAAGTTCATTATGGAAACTAAAGACAAGCAGTGTCTTTTTTAGTTAGTGGTGAGGCCCTGCCTCCCCTGACTGCATGTCCCTGGTGTGTGTGTGTGTGTGTGTGTGTAAGTTTACTATAAGTCTGGAGACACAATAGATATTTAAGCCTGTAGTGTAAATAAAAAAGAAATTCATTATTTTTAAAATCGGTTTATTGAGCTATGATTAACAATTATCAAATAACAATATCTAATGTCTAAGATTAATACAGAAAAAATATATAAAAATACAGACTAAAATTGGTAGTTTTAGTCACTCTGCACGTACAAATTCTCCATATGTATGAAATATCATATTGTACTTTATTGCTATAAAGTCCATCCAATTTTGGTAGAATTTTCCTTCCTGCTTCATTATTTCAACTGATTTTTTTCTAATGTAGCTATTGAAAAGGTTTTGTAATCCGCTTTGTTTCAATAGTTGGAGTTTTCTAATATTGGGCAAAAAAACCCAGGTTTTTTTGGGGGGGGGGGTTATACTCTGAAAAATACAGTACTTACCTTTTAAAGATCTCTGCAGCAATACACAGTCTTCTCCGGGGAAGCAGAACAGATTGATTCATTGCAGGCCATGTGGCTTTATTCCGGAAGCGGCTACCATTTTCCAGATGACCACAATTCAATGCAGCCACTTGGAAAAAGGCAGCAGTTTCTGGAATTTTGCTGCACAGCAGTACAACAAAATGATTTGTTCTGAATCCCTAAGCCAAGCTTTAGAGATCTTTGAAATTTAAGTGGAAAGGAATGGGAAGCAGGCCCAAGGCCAGCAGGGATTCAGTGGGGAAGATGGGGGGCGGGGGTTGAGATAGCCAGGGATTTCTGAAGTCTTTTGGTTAGTTACAAGAACAAATGACATTGAGGGCATTGCAATGGCCATAACTTCAAGACTGGGTAGTAAACAGGTTTTGTGGAATCTGCCTTAACTTCTGTAAATGGTATAAGCCTAACTCTCGGGAACAATGAATTCTTTTTTTACAAAAAATATAACATTTTATTAGATTATAAAATAAAATACAAAAGCAAATAATAGTACACAGTGGAAAGAGGAAAGAAAGGGGGGAGTATTGACTTCCAACTTCCTCTATTGCAGTAGAATAAAGCATTAACATCAAACCTTAACTTTTTATTTTTCCAAAATAGAATAAACTTGCCATTTCAACAACAAATCTAATCAGTAAAACCCAAAATCAAAATTTCATTTTTTTCCACCTTACAGACAAAGTCCAGAAGCTGTCTCCATGTAATAACAAAGTACTTATATTCTTTTCTTCTATTTAAACGGTCAATTTAGCCATCTCTGCCAACTCCATCAGCTGCGAAAGGTGGGAATTGGAGTGTCCTTCTGTTTTTGAGCATAAGTAGTTTTGCTGCTGTCAACATATATAAAATCAAAGTTCCCACAAAAATTTCCAAGTTTTTCCTCTATTAAACCCAAAAGAAAAGCTTCTGGTTTCATCTTTATCTTCGTTTTAGGAATTTTCTGTATTAAAATATGAATTCAATTCCAATATTTCTTTGCTTTATCACACTAAAAAAGATAAAAGACCCCTTTACTTTTACATGTCCAACATTCATTTGAAATACTTTTATATATTCTAGATAACTTACCTAGTGTTAAATACCAATGATAAATCATCTTATAAAAATTTTCTTTTCAGTTATAGTTTAGTATGAATTTTAAACCTTTCACCCACATATTCTCCCATTGTTCAAATGTCACATTATATCCAAAGTTTCTTGTCCACTAAATAATACAATGTTTTACATGTTCAAGGTTAGAAAACCTTGTTTTATATTTATTCCAATCTCTTAGTATGCCATGTCTGGCAAAGTGATTATTGAAATTAACCTTAACTTTAACTTTGTCATACCATATAGATAACTGTGCCATCCAAATCTTAATTCATGGCCCTCTAAATCGAGTAGGCTCTTGTTATGGAGCATTACCCCCTATTTTAATCAGACCAGACAGTATGCATGAAAATACAATTTCAAATCTGGTAAACCCAAACCCTCTCTTTCCTTAGCATCTTGTAATAGCTTGTGTCTAATTCTTAATTTTTTATATTGCCATATAAACTTGGAAATGTCCCTCTGCCATTGTTTAAACCAGTGGTTCTCAACCTTCCCAATGCCGCAACTCTTTAATACAGTTCTTCATGTTGTGGTA